ACGTTTGGCCCCAAATTTATAGAAATATTTTTCATTTTAACCTTAATGAAACAAACCAACTTTGTACTCCTTAATTTTTTCATATTGAGCCATGATGGCACAGTGGTTAGAATGCAGTATTGCAGGCTGCTTCTGCTGAACGCTGTCTGCCAGCAATTCAGCAGTTCGATTCTTACCAGCTGAAGGTGATCTTAGCCTTCCAACCTTCAGAGATCAGTAAAATGAGTACCCAGATTGTTGAGGTCAATATGCTAACTCTGTAAACTGCTTAGACGGCTGTGAAGCGATGTGTAACTCTAAGTGCTATTGCTATTTTGTTTCTAACAATTTTAATCTTCAATTCATTTTAATGCTATTGTAGGATTTGTTTTTCAATTTTTCTTTTTTTCCCATACGGAAGACTTCTTCAATTCTTTAACCAACTTCTTTTGTAAGTTCATTAACAAGTTTCTTTGGAGGTCAGTCTTTTGGGTTTTCTTTGTATTTCCGCTGTAATTGTTTTCTCAGTCTTTTAATTCCCCTCTGCCTTTTTTCAAAAAAAAATTTCAAGCATTTCTGCAAACTCTTTTGTGTTCATCTTTGACACAATAGTACTGGTCATAATGAAATGTCCTTCTATTCATTCTGACATAACTTCTTTCATTAGTCAATTTTGCAAATAAATAGATTATTGTGGGATGCACCAACTATGTTCATACATATTACTTTTGCTCAAATATGAACATTACTCATGAATATTAAATAAGGAGGATTTTAGAGTTAATAGTCCTTTGTGTATTTTTCCTTATCTTGTCTTATTCCAATAATAATTTTTATAATGCATTATTATTATTGTCATCAATGTGAGTGAGCTTTTGCATACAAGCCAATTTAAAAATATTCTAAACAAGCAAATAATTACAAAAAAATAGAATTAGAATTAAAGAAAATAATCACTTGTATTTCTCTGTCCAAAGGCAGATATTTCCCCTCTGAATTATCCATTGCTAAAGTACAAATGGTTTAAACTCTGGAATTTGATTTTAAATGCTTTCAATTCTGTTTTGGCAGCGTGAGTAGCATTATGAGATAAATCAAGGAGCACAACACAGGACACCGTGCCTTTAGACAATTAATAGTGGTTTATATATACATATATACAGACATATACATGACAGATAAATTCCATACCCCACAGCTACAGAGAGGAGCTACAAGGAGAGAAATGAGATACACAAGAAGCTAGAGAAACACCATTTAATGACCACATATATATAGACACCTCTTAAAAGGGTGAATGACTTGTGTGTATCCCACCAGAATCTTAAAGAGGCTTTGCCTGTATTGCTGAATCAACCACATTGCATCAACTTCCGGTTTACAGCTTACAACCTTACATCAGCTGGCAGCTACTAAATCCTCATTACCTGACACTCCCCGCATTTAAAGCTGTACATCTGATAATCCAAATGCTCTGAAATAACAGTTAGAGGTTTTGTTAACATTGATTCCAATTTCTGGCTGATTGTTTCAATCTGTATATGGCTTTATTCAATCTATATACATATCCAGGCGTTGCACTTTCATAACCTGGAGTTTGGGCCATATATATCTCTTCTGCTAAGTCAGCATTCAAATAACTAGTAGAAATACCAAAATGATACATAGCATATTTATATGAAGCTGCTAATGCTATTGCTAGCCTTATGGTTTCACTTTTACAGTTTACAGCTTATTCGGTTTACAGATTACAACCTTACATCAGTTGGCAGCTATCAAATCTTCATTACCTGACAAATTCTGAACACATCTTTTTTTAAAGACTTACCTTGTTCATAAATACACATATTTTGAGAATGCCTCAATATCTGTATGTTTACTAATCAAATCTTTAAAGTAGGGAATCTAATTAAAATTCCACTACTTCTATCCAGAATTATTCCACTACTTCTATCCAGAATTATTTCTGTCCATAGCAAACCATAATGTTTGATTTAGATACTAAGAGGGGAAAAAAATGCAAGAAACTGAAGATATTAAGCAATCAATTCATGATTTAGGTGAAACCTCTGGGAGGTCTCAGCATACAAAGTAAGAATAAAATTAATTAAACCCAAAGCTGCAAAGAACATTCATTGCAGAAAACTGTCGCTTTTTATTGTTCACAAGCACTTAAGTCAAAAGATGAAAACTTTGGAGGGGCCTCAGCTAATTCCACATGGGAGATTAAAGGAGATAATAGTCTCTGAATGTTGTATAAGGTTCCTTTCTGCTTAAACCCAAGCGGAAAGAGAAAACAAAGGGAACTTTTTAAATGAACAATCTGTTTTTCAAAATGTCTGCTGGGCATGTGGACAGCAACAGCAGTTAAACACTAGGCATGTATGTCTGTATGTACATATATCCCTTCTCACCCTATGGGTGTTATGCGTCTTGGGTCCTGTACCAGAGATCTCTTTGGGGAGTTCTATGAAATATTTTTGTTGTTCCTAATGTTGCTCTCTTCTGGACAGAGAACTCCAGTGGTGTTGGGAATCTGTTGGAGCCACTCTCCCACCTTAGTAATCACTTTGCTTTTTTTTTGTTTCAAACATCTACAGTTCCACCTTCAGGCCCTGGTACTCCTTTAGTTTCTCATGCTCTTTTTTTTCTGATGTTCCTATCACTCAGTACTGCTACATCTATCACCACCACTGTCTTCTAGTCCATTTCTACTACATAGTGCCTGGTTAATTGGCCACTACTTGCCTATCTATCTGAACCTGGAAGTTCTACAGCAGGGATATCAAACTCGTGGCTCGCGGGCTGCATGTGTCATGCACTGACCACCCCATGCTTAGTGAAAGAGGGGGGGTAGGAGTCATGATATGTCAATGTGACGTGGCAACGTGACACTTCAAGTTTGACATCTCTTTTTTACAGGATGCTTGCCCTGTTTTTCCCCACAACATTCTGTGCAATCTTCCACCTGGACTTGAGATGGTCTAGTCCATTCACTTGCAGATATTGCTATATGCAATACCATCTGCTTCGATGTACAGATCATATGATCCTCAAGTTATGACCATTCATTCAGGGGCTATTTCAAATTATGAACAGTGCAGAAAGAAAAGAGTTGTTACCACTGCCCAAAGTTACACCCATTGCAATGGCTCTGTAGTCACATGATCAAATTCAGGAACCAGGTAATGGGCCCAACGTTATGACTGTTGGGGGAGGGGCTGAAACTCCCCTCCTGCCTGTCCCACCAGGATGTGCAAAGCTTCTGCAGCCTTGGAAATCCTGCTCTGCTTCCTGTTACTTCTCCCTCCTTCTTTCTGGCCAGAAAGCTAGTGAACCTGATGTTTCTATTCTTCAGAAAAATACATTCATTAACTTTCTATGCAGAAAGCACACAAAGCTAGAGAAAGGAAGCTTAGATTCTGGAGATTTGCGTTACCTTTCTCCATGCCTATATGGGAGGGGAAGGCTGCGATGGGTGAGAGAAAGGAAGCCAGCCATGGAATTAACTCCCATGCGCCCTATAGCATGGAACTCTTTTGCTCTGTTTGTTTAACAAACACACGTAGGAGAGCCAGGATTGTAGTTACTGAATGAAATGATCATGTGGGCATCTCAGTTAACAACTGCAATGACTTACGACCAAAACATACGACCAAAATTCTGGACCCAGTTGTAATCATAAATCTAGGATTGCTTGTATGCTTTTCCTGCTATACCCTGCCACTGTTGGACTGAGATCTCTCTGCAAGTTTGTAGACTCCTGCTTCTAAGATCTTTTATTCATATGTTATGTGCCGACTTGCTGTTTTTTTTTTATTAAAAAAATCCAGCCCTTTCTAGCTACTGATATGTGTGTGCATGCACACAGACAACATTTGGAAACATTATAGAACATCCTTGCTTCTTGCTCTAATTAGACAGCTTCTGGTTTCTTCTATATGCTCTCTATGTGTATGTTCTTTTCAGATACTGAGCAGGCTTCGAGGCATATTTTAAATCTTGTTTTTTTTTAAATTAAATCAGGCTAAAACTAGACTTTCAGTGGGCTTATGTAGGCAAAACTGGGGAGCAGAATTTTCTGATGTCTTTCACAAGTCACTCTTCCTTGCAACTTTGCACAGGCCAGAAAAGAACAGTTGTCGACAGATAGACAAGCCTGTGTTCCTTCAGGTGGAGCAGGGAACATGAATTTAGTCATTGAAACTCCTTATCCCTTTGTGCCTCTGTGTAGCCTTTCTTTTGAGATACTGGAGGAAGCTGACTGGATTAAACAAACTGGAATGTAAAAGCAGGACAATCAAAAACAAACTTATAGCTTCCTTAAGATTTTACACTATTGTCTACTTTTATACTGACACCACATCTATTTCAAAGCAGCGGGGGGAGGCAGTTTATAAAATTCTGCATAGAATGCGTCCCACTATTCTCAGTAGGTTAGTGATTATACACAGCTCATAATTTAAATCCATTTCCATCTGGTTTTAGGTCTTGATACAGAATTGAGGCAGCTTTTATTACCCTGGTTAATTATCTTTACTGGAAGATTGCTACTGTATTGATATTTTTGGATTTCTTCCCAGTCTTTGAAGTTCCTTTGGACCAGGAAATATTACTAGAATGATTCCATAGAGTGGTGCTTAGAAGTTTGTGAACCTTTTTAAATTTTCAGTATTTCTTCATAGCTAAGATCTAAAATGTGATCTATTCCCTCACCCCAGTACTAAGGCTAGATCAAGAGAGAATCCAATTATACAGACAAGGAATATTATACTTGTTCATTTATTTACAGTATTGAAAAAAGCAAAAAATATATTAAGCAGTGTTAATGAAACTGTCTGATATGGCAATCAGAGCTATATGCACATTCTGTGAAAGACCATATCAGACTGTATTTAGTCAATATGATGAGCTGTAGAAAGAAAATATGGATGCTTTTAGGTAGCTTTATGTAAATCCAAAGTTTCTGATAATGCAGAGGCACAGAATAAGCTGACAATACTTTTAAATAATTTCTATAGGTACTGAAGGCCTAGGATTTAGCATCACTTCAAGAGATGTTCCTATTGGTGGCTCAGCTCCAATTTATGTGAAAAATATCCTTCCAAGAGGCGCAGCTATTCAAGATGGAAGATTAAAGGCTGGAGACCGACTCATTGAGGTGATGAAATGTCACAATGCTATTGGGAATTTTATAAGTCCTTTTGGCAAGCATCTTACTTTTATATGAGTTATATAGCAATCCAATTAATTTTCCCCCCTCATCTCCTGTGCCAGGTTTCTTGAGTATTGTCTTCTGATTTTCATATTTTCAGAATAACAATGTTAATAAACAGGAATAACTTAGCTTGCTTTACAAAGAGCATCTGTCTCATTTAGAAAACAGAGATTTTAAATATCTATCTATCTATCTATCTATCTATCTATCTATCTATCTATCTATCTATCTATCTATCTATCTATCATCTATCTATCGGGATGTGTGCATGGGCTTTATTCAAAGAATAATTGGATATATCAACTGTTTTGGTAAGATGGGCTGTGTTTTTAATAGATTGACATAAGGAATAGTGCACCGTGGTGGAACAATTATTTGGGATAAAACACAAGGCTTTGTATTTAAGTTTAATTCTTATAAAAATTATATATAATATATATATAATGTATGCCTGGTCTTAGAATTTGTATAGTATCTGATAAGCATTTTTTGTTATGACACAAATTACATGTCTTTCAGCCTGGATCAAACCCTCTTAAGCTGTAGTTTTGGACAGATATCCTGGAGAGATGGAATGATTTGACCTTTACAGTTCATAGGAAGCAAAGACATAGATTAGTATAACAAGGGACAAATAATGAATGATGGTGGATTGAGGAACACATTTTAGATATTTAAGTATTATTATGTATGTGTGGTCAGGAGTTAGTTTTTTTTAAAAATGAATATAGGTAATAATCATAGTCTATCAAAATAGAAATTCAGATAGATTTATTTATTTATTGTTTTATGGGGGGATCAAATACTGTATTATTGTTAGGTTTATGATATGATATTACTATAAAGTAAGGCAATCACTTTTAATGCAGAAGGGTGCTAATTCATTTTTTTCCTTAACTGTAAGCACACAGGAGGACATAGAAAAGAAAGAGGGAAAATATAACAATGTTTAGTCCAGTTCTTTATGTAATAGTTGCCATTTCAAAGAGTATGGACCATTTTAGAGAACTGTGTCTTAAAATATTAAGACATTTGAACAGTTCTGTAGCAAATTATTCCCAGGAATAAATTGTATCTCACATTGGTTCCATCAGTACTATTTATGGTTAAACATTGAAGCATATCTTGTTTTAAAAAAAAAATGAAACTAGACATTCTAATTATTCTATGCCTTTGTAGGCACTATTTACAGTTATACGACAACAATAGGAAGAATTCTGAATTAGATATACCTTCTCTATGTCCAAATAATTTTATGGTCTAATTCCTTTATTCACTTTTGAAAAATATTTCTTCCATTAGGAGCACATATTTTAAAATAAAATACAATCCTTTTGAAGCACCATTAAAATTATTTAATAGAAAGATTGAATACAAATTCAGAAATTTTATCTGATATGACACAGAAATATAACAAGGCATTGGTCAGGCAAACCTCCCTGGAGAGAGTATTTCTCAGTCTGGAAGCTTGTTTCTCATATTATCATAACTCACATACATAAATGTTGAAAGTATTAATGTCCAAATAGATTGATGGGGAAGCAGTTCATAGCTTAAAGGTTTTTAAAGTCCATCATAAATTTGTATTACTTTCAAAAACGGATCTTGGTCCACTTCTTTTTTGAGTAACTAGCTTGTCCCTTAATTAACTGATTGACATATGTACCATTTTATATTTAAAAAAAATCCTCTGATCTGTTCATAATGACTTAAAAAAATAAATAAGAGCAATGAGAAACAAATCGGGTGCCTTATCTACCATCTTGAATCCATAAATCCATACAACCCTAGCTCCAAACCTACAGTATCCCAGTATTTAGGAACAAAGCCCTTAAAACCTGGCTGTTCCGACAGGCCTGGGGCTAAAGAGCTGTTGCCCCCGTCTCGGATGGTATGACTATTGTGTGTTTTTAAACTATGCATTGTTATGTTTCGTTTTTTTTAATTTTTTGTCTGTACCCCCCTTCCCTGATTTGAATTGTGAGCCGCCCTGAGTCCCCTTCGGGGGAAAAGGGAGGCATATAAATATAATAAAATCCAAAATTGAAATCCAATCCAAATACTTAAGTGAAAAAATATTTTTAATAGTTTTCTGTAAAAGTAAAATATTTTGGGAATTGGGCTGCTCTATCCTCATATAAGGATGTTCCACTGAGGAGACACTAGTATGAAAACTATTTCAAATTAATGATCTTTGTATACCCGTCCATTTCGGGGTCACCTAAACCATACTAGTGAAAAATGTGGCATACTTGGAATCCTGAGAACTAAAATGTTCCAGTTTAAAGTATCTCAGTTTAAATTGTGCCTTTATTGCTCTTCTGAGCTCTACATATTCATACCCTATGAAATCAGCCCCCCTGCACTGGAACTAACTAAATCTATCAAGCTTTGCATGATCCTCTGCAAAGAAACAAGAAACAGAAAGATTTGCATGTGGAAGTTTTTAGAGATTCTGTTTATGATTTTGCTTTCCAAGTGAAAGTATACTACAGTTTACAAAGGCATCTGGATTGTTCTTTGGGCATGCTGGTTTTGCAATAGTGCAAACATTATATGATGATTGATAAAGAGCCAGCTTCCACTTTATAATGAAATCCAATAGCTTTTTTTGCTCATGCATTTCATTTCACTGAAATTTACTTAAGTACGGTTTAAGTTCTCAGGCAATTTAGCACTATTGCAACATATGAGTGCATTATTTATGCTAATGGATTTCCTTGGTCCATGATAGAAGATGATGGTATGTTAACATTGTCCCAGTTTCTATAAGGAGGTTTGTATATAGTAGTGACTATTATACTTGATTTAATGCATTTTCTTTTTTCTGGAACTTAGCTCTTACTTGCTTACTTCAATATGACTTGATTTTAGATGTATGTGATGTGGATTTACACTATTAGTAAATTTTCAACAATAGCGATGTCCTCATAAATGATCTAGATAAGAGAATTGAAGGGGTACTTATCAAATTTGTGGGTGACACCAAACGGGTAGTGGTAATTGCTAACACATTGGAAGAATTCAGAAAGATCTTGACAGACTTCAACATTAGGCCCCATCCAACAAGATGTATTTTAGTGGTGAGCAAAGTGATGTCCTGAAAATACAGGATAGGCAGTATCTGGTTCAACAGTTATGCCCTGTGATCTAGATATCCTCAGCGACTACTGCTTAAATATGAGTCAGCGGTGTGTTGCAGGTATCAGAAAAGCCAGTGCGGTCCTAGAATGCATCAACAGAGGGATAGCATCAAGATCATGAGAAGTGATAGTACTTCTCAGTACTATAATTCTGAGGCTACATTTGGAATTTTGCATCCAATTCTGTCATGATATAAAAAGGATGCTGAAGCCCTAGAAACAGTGCAGAGAAGAGCAATGCAAGTAATAAAGAATTTGGAGGCTAAATCATATGAAGAAAGTCTAGTTAGATATATTTAGCCTAAAGAAGAGAAGGCTTGGGGTAACCTGAAAGCAGTCTTCCAATATCTGAAGGGCGATCACAGGTTGATTTATTTTCCAAAGCTCCTGAGGGCAGGACAAGAAGTAATGGGTGGAAATTTACTTAGAGTGAGAATGATTAATCAATGAAACAGCTTGCCTGCACAGAATTTGTCCAAGATGATATAGGACTCTTGATTATTGTTTGACATTTTAGAATTTTTGTTTTTGTTTTGGATTATTTCATAGCAGTAGTCATTCAAACTTCCATGCATTGTAATCTTAATAATTGTATACTTTCTTTTGTCTGTTGACATATTTGGTAGCCTAGATTTGTTTATTTTTGTCCAATTTCAAGACTTGGCTTCAAATTCTAGCCCCTTCAAATTTGTGTTTACTATAGTCTGTAGACTCATCATGTTTCTATAGTAAAATTTCCGTTGCGTTGTTGTAGATTCTATTTTATTGCTAACATATGTTCTTGAAAATAAAGATTTGTTAGAAAATATTTTGATTTAAAAAGTCATTCTTTCTGACACTTGAAAATGTAATTTCCTATGCATATAGGCTAAGCATTTTCCCTCCCAATTTTTGTTGTAACAGGTGCTAAGAAAGTTAAATTGTTTTGCATGGCTTTTTCTCCCATTTGGCCCCCTTTCCAATTACATGAATCCTTCTTTGCCTGTTCAGAAAGCTGATAATCTTACTTGTGGACTATGGACTCACACTCATGCTTAATCATAATTTATTTAACCGTGACTTTTCTGTACACTAGCCTTGGCTGGGTCGGACACTTTAAGCCAAAACCAAATGGACCATATTATTTTTGGGTGTAATTGGGGAACCTGGTCATAATTTTGGTTTCTTCAGACATCTAGCAACTTTTAGTGATTTATTTATCACTGTGATAGGTAAATAGCTAATAATCCCATTACAATAAAGAAAAGGAAATCAACTCAAGGAGTAAACATAGATTGTGCTAGAAAGATCAGAAGAGAGCACAAGCAATTACCTTTTTAATTAGCATTTTCTCTTTGTAGTTGAATGCTGAGCAGTCATAACCAAAGTAATAATGAAATCTACGGTTTGCTGACTCAGCAATGGAAGTTTAAGTGTCTGAATAATTGATTTGAGAGCTAGTTTGATTCATTTTTTAACTTAAATAAAAATATTTTGAATTAGACTTATACACAAGTAAGGCAAGTTCAAGATTTCATCGTTAAACAATGATAAAGCATACTTGCTTTATCATTGTTTAACGATGAAAGTTAACCTTCAGTACGAGCTGATCTATCATAATATCATTTTTTGCTATGGCTACTTTAAGATTTCCCCTCCCCCCCTTTTCTTTTAGGTAAACGGAGTGGATTTAACAGGAAAAACCCAAGAAGAAGTTGTTTCTCTCCTGAGGAGCACTAAGATGGGTGGATCAGTTAGCCTACTAATTTTTCGTCAAGAAGAAACATTCCATCCTAGAGAATTGGTTCGTATTTTATTTTATTTTTTATTTCATTTTAAAGTGGTTGTGTTTAATTTAAAATATGAATACTAGAAAATAATCTGACAACCTGCTGTTACACTTGTGCGGGAAGAAATGGAACACATAGAATCCCTTCTATTATGTTTCCCATGGACGCTATTTCTGAATTGGTTTTCCATATTAATATGTGAACCAATATTTTCAAATCATGGGTGACAGGAAATGCAAATTATAAAGAGTTCATGGCCCCTGCTTTTATGCCTACAGACAATGGGATTGTTCTGTCTTTTGTACTCGCTTCTCTGTTGGAAATTTTTGTTTGTCATACTGAATGAGCTTGCTTTTTTTTATTGCTCTGAGAGCATTAAAATTAATCCAGAATGGGGTGTAAGAATGATGTGGTTTGGAAAAGAGGAACTTGTGCGGGAACAAAAATGTTCTTTTTATTAAAATAATGATCCCCATGTGGTGAAGACTCCCCACAGTTCTTAATTTAGCAAAATGATTCAGATAATGCTTTTTGTATAATAAAACATTTCTATTTAGGCTACTGTTCCACAAATTAAACATAAATGTTTCCCCAATAAGTGTGGAAGATAACATTTCTGTATTTAGATAAACGCACATATTAAATATATGGACTGCTTTATGGGCAGATCATACATTAAGCAGTTTCATTTCTAAAATTTGTATTAACTTACCAGGAACTCAAGTTTGTCCATATCAAGCAAAACATTTTCCCAAACTTCTCTATAATATAAAATGAAAACTAGCTGCTTTAATCTCTTTTTGCTTTAAATTCTTTAACATCAGCAATATAAATTCTAGGAATTCTGGGAAAGGTAACTTTTCATAGTAGCTGTTACACATTTGAAGGATTTAGATGTTTAGGAAATTCAATTTCCTGGGACTTTTGATATGTGATGCCCTGTTATTGTAGTGCTCAAAGCATTAGGAAAGGAGAAATTAGTAAATCCTTGCCCTAAATTTTGAAGAACTGCAGCCAAAATTTTTAGTGTTAAAACTACTATGTTAAACGGATCAAAGGTATGAGTAGCAAACTACCTAGGTTTCTGAACGCATGCGTCAGTCATGCTATTTGAGCTTCTTCTAAATAATAAAATCTCTGGTACGCAAAATATTTTCTTTTTCTCTTGCCTTGTAAATGGTCTATGATATTCTGTACTAAAAAGGAGGTTATTCCTAGCTAAAAGGGGAAAAAAAGTTCCCTTTTGATAAAATGAAAACATTTTCATTATTTGTAAAGTTATTTGATGAGTTAGCTATTAAAACTCCAGAGAAATGCCTATTAAGTACTAAAGATAATGGGTATTATATATTAATCACAAATGGGAAACAGGCAGCTTTATAAATTGAATAAATTAATGAACGAATAAATAAAATAAAATATAATTTGGCACCCACTATCAAGGATAATATCAATGTATTGCCACATAAAATACTGTATCTACTACCACTGGATATTCCCCAATGGAGAAATTGATTCCAGATGTGGTGCTAGCAACTAACTTGGCTGGCTTCATAAAAGGTCTGGAGCAGTTTATGGAAGTCATGGGGATCCACAGATATTAGTCTTGGTGAAGAATTAGTCTTTTCAGAGTATCTGAAAAGAGGCTAGTAGATTTCCTTGTTTGGCCATTGCAAAGACAGCCTGCTCAATTAGATGGGTCAGAGTTCTAATCCAACAGTCCCTGTGTTCTTATGTTTATGTTCAAGAACTTATTATGTTCTTCAGGAAATCAACGCATTGAAAAAAAATTAAATTTGACTACAAATTGTCTAAGTCCATGTCTAAGTAATTAAAGCCATTTCTCTAATGGAAAGAGCATTTTCTTCCTTTTTTAGGGTAGGATTTAGTAGGCATTTCACGATTTTATGAAAAGTGCAGACAAACACATAAATAAATTTTAGAATAATTTGTGGATGGAATTTAAACTTGAGGGTTTTCAGATTTATGTCAGGAGAGTTTGTATACAAGTGTACAATATTATGTATACCTTTGAATACAGATTACTTAATTTGTAATACGATTATACCCATAAATAGTAGGTTAATCTGACTGACAAGTCAGATAGGCAGATTTTAATTTGCCAAATTTATCACTTTGTGATGTTATGTTATAACATAAAAAGAGATAATTAATGTAATATAAGAAAAAAGCAATTGTAAACTTAGCTTAGAAGAATTCTTATCTTTCAAGAACAATGCTGAAAACAATTGTTTCTGCTGATAAATAATTCCTTTCCTTATCCAAATTATCTTGTCATTCAGATAAAACATAACATGGACATTAATGTCAAATAAAATAAATATCTGTAATATTTATATTAAACTAAAGCACTGAAATCAATGCAAATATCAATTTCTTTTGAAAGAAATCCATCTCTTTCTTTTTTGCAATAATTTTCATATAAAATCAGACAAAATATACACACTCGCATGTGTGTATATATGTATGTATGTGTGTGTATATGTATGTATGTCCTTCCCTCCCACCATCAAAATTAAATAGCTCATGTTTATCAAAAAATCTTGAAAAAACCTAGTCAGTTTCAGATTGATTAGTTCTAAAATGTTAAAGCCTATGTTCAGATAAACATTTGAGATGAAGTGCTGCCAGGAATAATGCACACCAGCATATAACAAACTCGTATTGTATACATGCAATAATAATTACAAATTAGAATAAGTTGATGTGAATTAAACATTTCAAATTCAGAACATGTTGACATTGAAGAATACTATTCTGAATCTGGAACAGTTGCTTCAAGCCCAAATTAGGTCTCTCTGTCTATACTGAATGTGTTTCAAGTTGGAAACAATTGTTTGAAGTTTGGAATTTGTGCTTTCACTTGAAATCTTGGGATATTTCCAGAATGAGACAGTCCTGTTCCAATCTTGAAGCAGTTATTTTGAGCTGAAGTCATTTTGAGTGTAAAACATTATTTTATAAAAAAATATACCGTATTTTTGGAGTATAATACGAACCTTTTTTCCTCAAAAAAGAGGAAAATCTGGATGTATCTTATACACCGAATACAGCATTTTTTGCCTCCCAAAGCCCTGCCCCCTTCACCAAAATGGCCATGCATACCCTTATGGAGGCTTTCAAACAACTCCTGGGGACTGGGGAGGGCAGAAATAAGTGAAAAATTGGCCGTTTTTTACCTTCCCCAGCCCCCAACAGCACTCTATAAGCCTCCATAAGGCTATGCATGCAATTGTTTTGACAAAAAATGGACCCGTTTTTGTGAAAAGTGGGCTATTTTTTGCTTGTTTTTGCCCCCCTACACTCACAGGAACACTCTGCAAGCCCCCCCCCAAGGCTATGCATGTCATTTTAAAAAAAATGGGCCCGTTTTCCTGAAAAACGGGCCATTTTTGGGAGGTTTGCAGAGTGAAAAAACTTTTGTTTCCTTTCCGAAAGCTCTTTAATTGATTGATGAGAATTGCATTGATCAAGTGCTGTGCCAGCAGAGACAAAGTCTTAAGGTGATTTCCTTTTCCAGCACATGGATAAATACACCTGGAAACATCTACCTACCTACCTATTCTCTCTCTCTTTCCCTACCTATCTACTGTATTTCTCTCTCTTTCTATTTCTCTCTCTATCCCTCTACCTACCTACCTACCTACCTACCTACCTACCTACCTATCTACACTCTTTCTCTCTTCCTACCTATCTACTGTATTTCTCTCTATTTCTATTTCTCTTTCTCTATCCCTCTATCTACCTACCTACACTCTACCTACTGTATTTCTCTCTCTCTCTCTCTCTCTGTGTGTGTGTGTGTGTATGTGTGTGTGTCTGTCTGTCTGTCTGTCTATCTATCTATCT